GCTCAAAGTGGCCAAAAAGCCTGAGTGGTGATCCAGTTTATAAGGAAAACCGGATCAAAAACCTTTATAAGGGAAACCGGGCTGAAAAACCGAACAAGGCACGACCTAGCTGGCAGACATAAGACATCACCACGAGAGACACAAGTAGATGTGGGGCGTCGTCGTGAGATCACAATACCAGGACTTTGCAAACAGCCGAACGCATCGGCGGGCATACCGGCCCCCATGGCACAACTCAGGAGCAACCACAATCAACGAGTGTCATCCCATACACGAACCTTGACTGGGGCTCCGCCACAGAAGAACGGAACGATTTGCAAGTTTGAGAGGCATCTTGCGCCATCCTTGAGCAAAGATGAGCCGAGACAACACCAAGAGCACGAAGCTCGCCGCAACACAACAGTAACCATGAGAGAGTCTTGAGCAATAATCACCAACCTGAGCTGCACGAGAACACCACCACCATAGACGAAGAGCTCCAATCAACCGAGACCATCCATGATGCCTCAAGGCTATTGGTGCAGCCGAAGGGCAACGAGCGACCGAGTCCACACCCGGACAAAGAGTCACACGCAGCCGAGTCTACATCACAACAGCGGCACCGCCGGAGAAGCCGAAGGGCATCAAGGAGCCGAGTCTACACCTGGATCGCTTCACCGTGCACACCAGCGCAGGCTGGTCGCGCCACCACCACCACAACACACACCACCATCGACCCTAGTCGGCCGCACAACCACACCACCAGCCACACCACCACCACCAACCACCAACCTCAAGCCAGCCAAACACCACCCAAACCTTAGGTAAGCAACATGGAGCAACGTCTCCGAAGACAGGCACCACCAAGGTGGTAACGACGTCGTGGACGCCGCTGCCGTCCGATCCAGGAGCTAGATCTAAGGCTTTCACCCGGAGAACGAACAAAGTAGGCGAAGGAACCAATGCATCACACAACGGTACCTCCAGGGAGGGATCCGACGCTGCAGAGCGCCGCTACCGCCGATGCCGACCAAAGCCGACATAGGGCTTTTGCCCGTAGCATCACCCTCGTCACCCTTTTGCTGAGCCACGTCGCTGCTGAGACCAGAGCCACCACCGCAAGGAGGGGAAAACCTCCTGCTATGGCGACCGAGCGCCTGCCGGACTAACACCAGACCGCCGAAGCAGCCAACAGGGATGGAACCGAGCAAGGCGCGTCAGGGAGTGCGAGATCCACGAGAGGATGGGAGCAGAGGACGCACCTAGCCGCCCCTGACTTGGATCTGGCAGGAAAGAGAGCAGTGGCTGGACCACTGGTCTGGCCCCGCCACCACGCCACCACGCTGCCAGCCACGCCGGGCTAGCAAGCCGACCAGCTCCATAGCACCAAGCCGGGAGGGGGGGCCGCCACCCCACCCCATCCCGCCGAGCAGGGCTGCCGGGCCAAAGCCCGAGCAACCCACTGCAGCCGCATCATTGCCGGGAGGGGTCTCATCGAGCAGCCAAGAGCCGCAGTCCGCATCCCCACCCGCCGGATCCACGCGCCAGGAGCCGCCGGGGCGCCGCCACCCGCCATGCCGTCCCCGCTAGATCCCGTCGAGGCGCACCGAGGCCGCACCCCAAATCACCGGAACGAGGACGCCCATCTCCGCGCCCTTCGCGCCCTCGCCGCGCCGCACCGAGCACGGCCACCCACGCCGGTGCGCGCACCCGCGCGAGCGCCGTGCCGAGCCGAGTCCCCGCACGAACGAACGGCCCGCGCCGCCCCTGCTCGAGCTGGAGGAGGGAAAGGCCCCGCCGCAGCCGAGCCGCGCGTGCTTCGTTCGGCGACATCCGTCGGCGGCGGCGAGGGAAGGAGGGGCCAGAGGGGCTTGCGCTGGCGGCGGCTAGGGTTCGCTCCCGGGCCGCCCGCGGGAGCGACCTGGGGAGCCAATTCTTTTTCGGCGGGTAATATCTTTCCAGAATTTTTTGAAAATTTTAAAACTTTAAAATACATATTGGCACTATTTAAAATATAGGGCTCACTCGAGCTCGTCCTGTAAAGTGACTTTTTTGGCATTTGCCTTGTGAAACAAACTTTGAGGTCCAGCCAAGGATCAACCATCTTTCCTTAACAAAACATTAATATTAATATATAGAGGTGCATGAAGCAGAGCCAGTGGTTGCAGCTCCGTCATCGCCCACTCCGGCTCCGTCGCCGCTGATTGTAGCAGTGCGCGTCGCGGGTTGTAGCAGCCGCGGCCGAATCTCCTCCACATACAGACACATAGAGAGCGAGGGAATCAATCAATTGATGGCCATGAGCCGTTGCTGGGCAACAGTGGGAGAGAGCTGGTCGTGGCTGACGCCTGACGCTGACGCTGAGGCTAAGGCTGAGGCCGAGCAGAGCACGGCATGCCCGGAAATGGCCTCCTGCCATCTGAAACCGAGTGGCCGCGCGTGATGAAGATAGCCGGAAGAGGGAGCGATGCACAGGCCTCTCCATAATATATATATGTACCGCTGTACCCAGCTGTGTCTGAGCTAGCTAGCTAGGGGTAGTAGTCTTCCTTGTAATTTCCTTTTGTTTCCTGGGTTTTTCTGTAAGAACAATGCATCAATGAAATCGTCTTCTTCTCGCAAAAAAGAGAAGAAGATATTAATAACTAAAGAGAGACATGCACTGCTTGCTTTGAAAGACTTCCTTTTTTTTTTGAGTTGATTTTACTGCTTGCTTTGAAAGATTTTACTGCCCACCAGAGCAGAGGTGATATATCGGGGCGGCGTCCGCTGCACGCACTGTCTAGTCTAGATGTACAAACCCGCTGCTACTGCTAGCTAGGAGAAAGCAGTGTATCTTGTTTTTTCCTTTGTGTTGGCATGCATGCACAGGCAGTAGGGAGAAAGCAAGAAACCGTCGCGTACGTGATTCGAAAAGAAAAGGAGATGCCTTCCATATTTGGCTGGCTACTTTGTTTTTCTAAAAGAAATCAGGCACTGTCACGTACTACGTACCTAGTGGCGTAGTAGATGCCTGGCTGTAGCATTGAAAAGGCTGTTTTATGCAGTCAGATGGCCCTTACAACGTATGTGTATGCATGGTACAGACCAGACCAGACCAGACCAGACTGTACATTATCCATCCAGCTCTGGACCGCAAATTCAAAGGAAATAGAGCCTAGAATTTCAGGAGCCATAGCCGATTTCTGAAACTACTAAACTCCCTCTGTAATTTCATATAAGACATTTACTGACCAGTACATATCCTTGCAGTACAAATTATGGCAATGAATGATCTTTACACCTGACACTCCCAGAGACGCCTCCCCGGCAACAGGTAAACATCACAAAACAGCTAGACCCAACAGTTTTAAACTGTGGGTAATAACCAGGAAAAAGACTAAACTCCCAGACTAGGCACACAAGTCCGAAGATGTCTCCTTCACGAATAACTTCATCAGAGACGACTTGTAATTTTACTGCAAGGAATCCTCCATTGCAGCAGGAATAAGAGCACACAAAATATGGCATCAGCAGGGTGTTTCGGCATCCTTTGTGGAAAAAACAAAATCATTCCTGATGCTCCAGAGACACCACCAGAATACCAGATGTTCCACAGAAACTACTAACCCAACTCACCTCTATAATTTGGGCTCGCTAGGTTACATTACTTCCAACATACGCAGCAATCTTGGATCTGAAATGCCATGATTTTGCTGTCTAATTCACCTAAGTTTTCATCATCATGGTTGCGCTGCATACTACCCAAGCCAAAACCAAATGGCACATAGCTCTTGTTCCCCATGAAAACCCACACAAGCACCTGTGGCCTAAACTATCACAGGCTTGTATTTTACATCAAAAAGGTTGCCTCCCTGCTCCATTAAGCACAACGAAGCAACATCGTAGCTTTACAACTTACACGGCGGAAAGCTGATAGCTTCCTCAGTAGATAAAAGTTCATTACACACAGTAGGCAAACACAGCGATCTACTAGTAGGAAACTAAACACTGAAGCAGCTAGCGTTCTCCTGCAGGAACAGGGGATGAGTTTGATCAGAAAAGTCGGGTTTACCAAGCGGTCCGCAGTAATTCGACCCCGAGCTTGTCGAGGAGCGCAGGATTTCTGTCCAGGAGGGCTGATTGGGAGGTTTTGCAGACGATCTTCCATCGGTGTTCTAGCAGCTCCAGACACGCGCCTCCTTGACATTGCTCCAGCGTCTTTTCTGAAAACAGAGTTTGTTGTCTTTCTTGGAAACAGAGTTTGTTACGAAAAGTCCATCATAAGCTCCATATAAGACAGCAGAACAGAAGATATTCATGACCTGAGTAGTTTCATACTCATACACCACAACTGTTGGGCCACAGCACATTTAGAAAATAAGCGATCGCTGCATTCAATCTCAGAGCAAAAAGAAGGGAAGTAGGATCATCTACAGGGCTATCCCAGGCTTTCCAGGTCCACCACATTGCAGCTTGAAGTCGCCACAGCCTTTTTCTGCCATTTATTATACAGTAAGTACTACATATCGTGCAATTTACACATACACCGATATACATACACCATGGTGCCATTGATCACAAAAATACACAAGCCTGTGAAACACAAGACTGATACACAAGATTCGTTTTAATGCTTATTATTTCACCGTATGTTAAATTGGTCACTTTGTATGGGTTGTGGCTTATGAAAGTTGAAATTCAGTTTATAGCTAATGGCTTTCATCCGTTTTAAATTGATCGGTGTCATTAGAGCAACTCCAATGGGGCGACTCATTTCGTTCGCGGCCGTCCGTTTGGGTCGGCGCGGACAGAAAAGACGGCCCAACGCGCCGACCCAAACGAACACGCTCCATTTTTCGTCCGCGGGCGACCCATTCCCGGCCCATTTTCGACCCTGATTTGCGTCGGCGCGGACACGCGACGGGCGCGCGCGCTCGCCTAATCCTGTCCCTGGGCCCGCTGGTCTGTGGCACATTGGTCTCCCGTCTCACCCTGCGGCCAACAAAGCAACCCTCCCGCCTCCTCCGTCGCCGACGCCGCCGCCCATTTTTTCCGGCGACTCTTCCAGCTGCCGCCGCCTCCACATCCGCCCAACAATGCCGCCCCTCCCCCCGTCGCCCTCCGCCGCCGTTTTGCCGCCGGGGAGCAAACTGCTTCCCACCACCGCTTCCCCCCACCGCACAGCCACCCGCGACCAAGAAGCCACCTCGCCGCCCCTGCCACATCCGACCAGCACGCTCGTCGGACGCCGTCACACTCGCCAAGAAGCTAGCTGGTCTGTGGGCGTCGCGACTCCCCTCGCCAGCCGTCTCCTTCGTCGACGCGCGCAAGCTGTTCCACAGTTTGCCAAGGTACGAAATGGACTCCGCCGACGAGTTCTTTTTCCACAATTTACTTTGCGACTCCGACGATTCGTCGTCCGACGACGAGGAGGAGATATTGGCTGCCGTATTGGTCCATCACCACCTCAACAGCCAGCAGCCGTTGTTTCGTGGCTCCATTCCGGGCCACCTACCGGCGTTGAATCGCAACCGAGAGAGCGGGCATTTCCTTCTCTGGAAGGACTACTTTGATACAACAAACCCGTTGTTCAAACATCACAAATTCCACCGCCGGTTCCGTATGAGTAGGCATGTTTTCAACCGTATTAGAGAGGGAGTGGTCGGCTATGATGACTACTTCGAGTGCAAAGAGGATGCCGTCGGCAAGATTGGTTTCTCCTCTTATCAGAAATGCATTGTCGCCATCCGAATGCTTGCATACGGAGTGCCCGGTGATCTCATTGACGAGTACGTCCGCATGAGCGAGTCTACATGCCTAGAGTCCATGTATAAGTTCTGCAAGGCTGTGATTGTTGTGTTTGGCCCTGAGTACTTGAGAGAGCCGACAGCTGAAGATACAACCCGTTTGTTGGCGATGAATGCCAGCAGGGGCTTCCCGGGGATGCTTGGCAGCATAGACTGCATGCACTTGGAGTGGAAGAACTGCCCTTCTGCTTGGCAAGGGCAGTATAAGGGACATGTCAGGGCTTGCACTGTCATACTAGAGGCTGTGGCGTCTCAAGATCCGTGGATCTGGCACTCTTTCTTTGGCATGGCTGGATCACACAATGATTTCAACGTGCTTCAGCGCTCGCCGGTGTTTTCTAGGCTTGCCAAAGGCAACAGCCCACTGGTGAACTTTACTGTCAACGACCACAACTACGACAAAGGGTACTATTTGGGTGACGATATCTATCCTCAGTGGACCACTATTGTCAAGACAATACCCAACCCTGTCGGAGAGAAAAGGAAAAGATTTGCCCAAGAGCAAGAGAGTGCTAGGAAGGATGTCGAGCGTGTCTTTGGTGTTTTGCAATCTCGATGGGGCATCGTTCGGTATCCTGCTAATACTTGGAGCACGCAGAAACTATGGGAGGTGATGAATGCTTGTGTGATCATGCACAATATGATCGTAGAGGACGAGCGCCCGGAACGTCTGTACGATCAAGGCTTTCAGTTTCAGGGTGAGAATGTTGTGCTTGAGCGTGGAGTAGCGGCAACATTTGAGCAGTTCATTCAGTTTCATGAAGACATGCGTGATTGGGAAACTCACGTGCAACTGCAAAATGATTTGGTCGAGCATATATGGACTCATGTTGGCAACCAATAGATGTATCGTCTTTTATTCGTTTGCAAAACTATGTGAAACATTTTTATTTGTATTTGTCTTGTAAACTATACTATTTATTTGGGCGGCCAGACTATTTGGCTTCACAGTATGTTTGAATGCAAATCAATGTAAAATTGGGCGGCCAGCCGGCCACGCCTGCACATATGGGTCGGCGTGTTGGGCGCGCTGCCGACCCATATCAAAAATAGGGCGGACGCCGGGCGGGCGGCCGACACAAACGGACAAAAAGCGGACGAAATCGCCATCCGTTTGGGTCGGCCCGTTGGAGTTGCTCTTATTGCTGCAGGTCCATAAGCACAATGCCACTCTCAAACGAAATCTTACCTGCTGTGCTGGCCTCAAAAGTTACCGCAACACGTCATCAGGTCCATGAGCTCATTGATTTAATAGCAGAGCTTTCAGCCCAAGTCGGATTTCGATGCTGTGCTATCTGCAAGCGCAACGCTGGCCAAATCATGGGTGCTGAGAACTTGATGGCTGAGATTGAGGGGGCCCATCGAGTTCTTGTGCCCACCATTGCATTTGTTACAGGGTTGTTCATGGTGTACAAGTCTCAGTTTGGAGATATGACGGGGACTGAGCAAGAAGTAGAGATGAAGAACAACATGTCCCAAGCCAAGCTTGCAGTTCAAGTTATGAACCGTTCACTTTTTCTATTGGGATCCAGTGTTTTGGAATTTGACTTTGTTGTGAGCAACTACTCGCTCTTGGACCCAATAGCACATGCTGATGCAGAAAGTTCACTATGCAAGGCAGCTAATATGTGCCGGTTAATTCAGACCTTTGCCGACACTCTGCAGTTCCACCTAGAGGTTTTTGAAGGGATCTACAGTTCTGGCGTGTTGTTCTGCACCCCCAGTAATCAGGAGTGAAGTATTTGGTAAATACTTCTATATCTCATAGCTATGTATTTTGTCTTTTAATTGGTAGCCTTTTAAGGAGCTTTTAACATTCTTTGATGATATAGGTCAAGTTAGTAATGTGTGGACTGAATTGATGCATTATTTTATTTCTATTGCTTCTGTTCTGTATGCAGTAGTGCAGAGCTGTACGAATGTTCTTATTCTTGCATAGTAAGAGTATTTTTATATTATCTAGGAAGTACTCTGCTTCACTGAATTCTCTCATATTGCCCCGCTCCTCTTGATATATACATATTTTATACTGAAATTTTATACTTACTACACTACTGTGTTAAGGAGCATACTTTTTTTTATGGGAAGGAGTATATTTTTTATATATTTGGCATACTTAACAATATTGTTTAATTATTTATTATATATTTGTATTGTATATCACTGAAAAATACTTTAAGTGTTGCGCCTAATTTAATTTCTGCTTTCTAACGATTTTTAATTTTTGTATACTTGTGTAATTTATGTAGTTTACACATATGTATGTTAGATATCTCTAAAATATGTGGTTTCACAAATATTGTAATAGTAGTTGTAATATATGATTAGGAAAATATATTTGTAGAAAGTTCTAGTGGTTGTATTATATAATTAGGAAACTATATCTGTAGAAAATTCTAGAGTACAATATACTTGTTTTTTGAGCACCTATGTATAAGTTTGACAATATATTTAATAATATATGTGAGGGACCCACAATGTACGAATTTAACAAAATATTGTTTAAACCATATGGTTTAACGATGTATCTATATACTCGTTTCCCATTGTTAGAGTCCAGAACAAAATGGAGCCTCCTCGGGCGTTTGGATTTTCAGCTGTCGGATCGAAATCTCCTCGCGACACGGACCGTCGGATCTGGATCCAAATCACTGTGGGTCATTGGATATTTACCCAATCAACCTCTGCCGTCGGATAAAATTCCAATTGCAACAAATTGTAATATCCATGCCCCCACCAGGGCATTTTTGTCATTTCAGATTGGGCCATATAAATTGCAGCTGCTGCCATGTTGGAGACCTAGCCGCTGCCTCGTCCTGCACTCGCGCCCCCACACTTCCTCTCCCCCGCGACCCCCGCCTCCTCTCCTGCCGCCGCTGCCGCCGCGCCCTCCCCACCCGCATGCGACCCACCTGTTAGATCCCGCTAAGTATTTGTAGGAATTTTCTATGGATTTCTATGAACTATGAGGTATAGGTATGAGGTAAGAGGAACTCTAGGGTTCCAGTATATTAGCCATCGCGGCGATTTGGGAAAATGTTCAGGTGAGATTCTGCCCAGCCACAACCCGGCTAGTTATAGGCGACAGTTTAACCAGAGAGTAACAGTAACTATGAGCTAGTCCCGTTACAACGGTAAAAAGGATTCAACGGTTGCGATGTGTCATCGTGCTCCCAGCCAATCTGGTCCGTTGGTTAACTGAACTGGTATTCTCCTGAAATGCTACAGCTAACTGAATCACTACTGGTGCTGACATTGCTCCCCTCTAAGACACGACGTGTCCTCACGACGTTTGTTCTGCTTCGCGCCACGCTTGCGTTGTTGACTTGAAGATCTCCGGGAAGGTGTACTTGATGAAGTCAGCGTCCTCCCAAGTGGCGTCTTCTGGTAGGAGATTCTGCCAATGAATCAGCCACTGAACAACTGGTGCATTGCGTCTTGGAACTTGCCTTACTTGGAGCACCGCGGCCGGGCCTGTTTTGATCATGCCATCTGCGTTGACCATAGGTAAATAGGGACTAGGGATTGATAGTGTGTTTCTTGAGCTGGCTCACATGAAAGTCTGGGTGTATTTTGACTTCCTCACGGAATTGCAACTTGTAAGCTAATCGTCCCACTCTTTGTGTGATCAAGAAAGGGCCATAGTATTTGTTTTGGAGTTTCAGAGCTCCTCTGAACCCAAAAGCAGCCAATCTGTATGGCGCCATCTTTAAATAAACCAATTCTCCTACTTCAAATGTTCTCTCAACTCTTTTCATATCAGCACAGTGTTTCATTTTGTTTTGTGCTCTTTGCAAGTTCTCTTTGAGCTGGTCCAGAATTTGTTGCTTGGAAGAGAGAAAATCTTGTGCTTCAACTTCATCTGGGCCAGGAATTGCTAGCTCAACAATGAGTGGAGGGGGAAAACCATATAGTGCCTGGAATGGAGACATTTTCAAGGCAGTGTGATATGTGGAGTTGTACCAATATTCAGCTAAGGATAGCCAAGATGCCCACTTGTTTGGTTCATTGGTAGTCATACACCTCAGATAAGTTTCCAAACACTCGTTGACTCTCTCTGTCTGGCCATCTGTTTGAGGGTGATAAGCAGTGCTGTATCTGAGTTCTACCTTCAAAGCAGTAAAGATATCTTTCCAGAGTTTGCTGGTGAATATTCTGTCCCTGTCTGATATTATGAGCTTAGGAGGTCCATGCAACTTAATGATATGATCCACAAATGCTTGAGCAACAGTGTGAACTATATATGGGTGAGACAATGGAATGAAATGTGAGTATTTAGTGAATGTGTCAACTATTACCATGATCACTTCTTTTCCCTGTGAATTGGGAAGACCCTCAATAAAGTCCATTGTCACATGTTGCCATGCCATATCAGCTACAGGCAGTGGGTCCAACAATCCAGGCTGCAAGCAGTTTTCATGTTTTGCTCTCTGGCAAATTGGGCAGGCAGCAATGAAAGTTTCCACTTCAGTTTTTAGCCCAGGCCAGTAGAAAATATTCTTAATCCTCTGGTAGGTACCTCTCATTCATGACTGACCCCTAATAGGAGAACTATGCAATGCTTGGATTAGTTTGGTTTTCAAGTCAGCATTGTTCCCTACTAGTATCTTGCCTTTGTACCTTATAATTCCAGCATGTATGGTGTACTCTGCATTGGGATCTGGTTGCTGCAACAGTAGTTGTTCCAGCAGTTTTTTACTGACTGGATCTTGCTGATAACTCAATAACAGATCCTCAGCCCACACTAGTGCCACAGCAGACAGAGCAAAACACTTTGGAAGTAACCTGGAGAGAGCATCAGCTACCTTGTTCTCACTTCCTTTTTTGTACTGAATTTTGAAGTTAAACTCTAGTAATTTCATCATTAACTTATGTTGCACCCCTTCAGTGATTTTCTGGTCAGTAATGAACTTGAGTGATTGCTGATCAGTTTTAATAATTAGTTCATTGCCTATCAGATAGTTTCTCCACTTCTTGAGTGCTTCCAGTATAGCAAGAGCTTCTTTCTCGTATGTGGACATAGCTGCATTTCTAGGGCAAAGTGAGGAGCTATTGTATGCTAAGGGTCTTCCTTGCTGCATGAGAACAGCTCCTATTCCTTTACCAGAAGCATCTGTTTCCAATACAAATGGCATGGAGAAGTTGGGGAGGGCTAGTACAGGAGCTGTAATTAAGGCTTGTTGCAGTTGTGCAAAAGCCTGATCATGTTATTGTTTCCAATGAAACTGCCCCTTTTTTAACAGATCATGTAGAGGCCTGCATATGACTCCATATCCCTTGATAAATCTCATGTAGTAGCCTGCTAAGCCCAAGAAAGTCCTCAACTTAGATACTGAATCTGGTGTTGGCCACTCAGCAATAGCAGCAATTTTCTGGGGATCTATAGCTACTCCTTTGGCAGATATTACATGTCCTAAGTATTCCACTTGTTGGACAGCAAATACACATTTGGACATTTTAGCAAACAGCTGATGCTCCTTCAATAATTGCAGCACTATACTTAAATGCTCCTTGTGCTCTTGGAGGGTTTTACTGTATATGAGTATATCATCAAAGAAAATCAGCACAAACTTCCTCAAATACGGACCAAAGATGTTGTTCATCAATGCTTGAAAAGTTCCTGGGGCATTTGACAAGCCAAAGGGCATAACCAGATATTCAAAATGGCCTAGAAAAGTTCTGAATGCTGTCTTCTGTATATCATCAGGATGTATTCTTATTTGATGATAGCCTGACCTTAAGTCAATTTTGGAAAAGTAATGTGCCCCATGCAATTCATCTAGAAGATCCTCTATCACTGGTATAGGAAACTTGTTCTTAACTCTGAGAGAATTAAGTTTCCTGAAATCAGTGCAGAGCCTCATGGAACTATCTTTCTTGCTAACTAATAAGACAGGTGCTGCATATGGACTCTGGTTGTGTCTGATAAGGTGAGCAGCTAGCAATTTTCTAATTTGATCTTCCATTTCTTGCTTCTGGTGTTGAGGAACTCTGTATGGTCTCACATGAGGTGGAGTAGCATCAGGAACTAGAGGTATAGTATGGTCAATAGTTCTCTCTGGTGGTAGTGATTTTGGTTCCTCAAATAGATCAACATATTCTAGCAGTAGTTTCTATATTTGTGGGGGTGTTTGTGTTCCCTCAGGTGCTTCCATTAAGATGTTATGCACCTGTAACAAGAAACTTTCTACTCCTTTATCCAGCAACTTGCTCATCTCCTCAGCTGGTACTTCTTTGACAGTTTCAGGACTGTTAAAAACTGCAGTAGTAACTGTTTGAGTTCCTTCCTTTGTGAAACTGAAAGTTTGCTTGGGGATATTGAATGAAACAGGACTGACCACAGTCATCCAATCATATCCCAGTATGATATCATGACTAGGTAGTTTTAACACCCTGAAATGGTGTTTAAGTTTCAACTTAGCAAGTTGAAATTGACAGTTGGGCACAATTGCTGCAGACAGTAACTTCCCTCCTCCAGCTACTGCTATAGCTCTCTGTTTAGAGGCAACATCTGACAATTAGCTTTAACAGCAAAATCTTCATTAATAAAGGAAGTAGTGCTACCTGAATCCAACAGGGCCACAACTCTTTTCCCATTAATGTATATGATCACTGTGGGAGTAGGTGCTGCTAGCTGGTGCCCCAGTGCATGGGCAGACATAAACATTACTTGTTCTCCCTCCTCTGCCATTTCAGGTTGCTCCTGTTGTTCTATTTCTTCATTATCAATGACAATT